AATTGGATTACTGTAACATAAAATATATAAGTTTTTATATCAGTTATTTTACTAAGTTCGAAATAAATTTGGCCGGTCCGGCACTACATAATGCGGACCAAATTTTATAATAATAAACTGTCCGGAATTAAAAATTCGTTCAACCGTATTTTTAGCATGTCTGCGCCTATCTTGCGTTTGCAGATAATCTCACTTGTAAACATGCCACCAAAGAGACGAAAAGTTCAACTTGCAGCTTTATATACGGTAAAACAATATAGATCACATCGCCGGATTCCTGAAAATGTATAAAGCTATCGTCTTACTAAAAATTCTTAATTGTTTCACGTGACTGAATCAAAAATTTGGCCACAAAACAAAAAAGTTGGTGGCTTTAGACTGCGTGCACCATACAAAATTTGCTAATCGAATCATTTGAGCATATAAATCAAATAAAATGTAAGATGTCGAACTTCAAATATTCGTAACAAACTTGATCATTTATCATGGAAGACCTAGATAGAGAGCGAAGTTCTTTAACCAGTAACGAAAAACGAATGCTTATTCGCGTTCACCAATACTTTTTAAATACTCGACAGTACCAGACGCAACGTCCAGACTTACCACTACGCAAGGAGGTTGCTTCGGTCCTTGGAATTGGTGAGGCAACCCTTGCGCGAGTGGTTGCTGAACATAATAGCAGTAAAAATGAAAATTCTCAGAGCGTTCAGAGCGAATAATGCAAGGGCGTCCAAGGAAACGCCCCGATCACAATGTTGTTGATCTCATACATAAGTTGCTAGAACTGGTCCACATCCTAATCTTCTTGTTATTAGAGACAAATCATTGCACGCATTTAACGAGAAGGTTACGTCTAAGGTAATTCTTGGGTTTTCGCCAAAGAATATGAAAATTTAAATGATGATATATTATTGGTCGAAAGTGATAGTGAAGATCTCGAAGTTGAAGAGATTGATGACTAGTAAACCTTTTTTGTGTGTACATGTTTTAATAAATTTCTACACATTCCCAATTTGTAAGTCAATTTATTTAAGTATATTCAAAAAAATTTCTACTAATAGTAAAGTTGGCAAACTTTCATTTCGGTTCCTGCGTAGAACGCCAGAGTAAGATAATGAAGATCATATATCGACTTGCAACTATTAGTAAAATTCGTATGAATTGTTTTGTTGAGTTTTCATAAGACTTTAACGTAAAACTCCTGTTCGCTAATAAAGATTTAACTATCATTGCCGTCACAGTTTGTAAAATAAACATGATTTACTCAGCATATGAAATCGACAATATACGGATTTTTGTCACAAAATTTTGTTAACGATCCATTATAAATTGTCATTGACGCTCTTATAACGGCGACAAGACGAGAATAAACCTATTCGAATGCGCTATTACGGAGAACGGTTATTGCTCGGTTAAACGTTTACACAACAGAGCGATGTAATTGCACACAAGGTTTTAGTCTGGAACCGTCTATGAATACTATAATAGAGTTGTTACAAATCAAAAATCATTCGTTGGGCGACTAGGCGCAACAGATAAGTTCATTATTGATCTAACGTCGATGGAAAGGAAAGCACTCAACGGTATCTTTCATCCAAATATAATCTGGTGAATTTATATGAAAAACCACATATTTAGACGACCTGGGGTTCCTTGCTTGATCATAGTCTTTTCAAGAAAATCTGCATGCGTACAAAGCTTTTTTCAAGTTATTTCGATTAATGCGAATTAAATATTTCTTCCGAAATTATAGTGACTATTGTCTCATTATAATAGTGATTATCGTTCGTCTATTTTGTATCGACTTTTCTTTTCTTGGATGCTGGAACAACGACCGGAGGACGATCTGGCCTTTCTGAACGCCTGTTCTCTGCCCTCTTTTGTTCACGAAGACGTTGACTCGCCTCTTTCTTTTTTGTAAAATATTCCGTCGCTTCTTCGGCTATATCAAATAACAGGGTATAATACGCAGTTACATTTTAAAGCAAAACTTTCAATAGGAAAAATTTTATCCTGGCCTACTCAAAAGTGGACTATACATACGAGTAATTGTAGTGAAGCTTAGCTTTTCACCATCAATCTCCACATCACTTGACAGTAGAGCCTCTTTCTTCTCTTCATCTAATGGCAGCTTGTACTCGATGTATCCAGTCCCGTCTCCATAGAGTTCAACCCAAAAGACGGTACCGTACTTTTCTGCCTCGCTCTAAACAAAAGCATTGTGTATTATATTTGAGTCTCTGATAATAACAGATGTTGTTGCAATCGTAACTTCCCCAATGTCTTGCTACATACTCTTATAGGTGACCATTCGGAGTCTGGTTTGGCTCCAGTAATTTTAAAAAGATGTCTATGATCCCTCTCCGGTTTTCGCGCATTCCGACCTTGCCCTCTATCAGGTTTTCTACTTTCTTTTGAAGTCCCAAAATCAGTCCTGAGCGTGTTTGGATCTATACCCTTTTCTATGCATTTGTTTTCACAATAATCAAACCTAACAAGAATGGTACATTATCAATCTGATTTGTACATGGAGAATGAGCTTTACTCATGAAACCATGATGAAAACATACTTGAGCATCATTGTAAGCGGTTGATCCTGGTAAGACAGCTGCATCGCACTGACTTTCCTTGCTTCATCGGTTGTTTGAAACTCAACAAACACAGACCCCTAATAACGCGCTTACTTGAGATTCTGTCATATTCGTCATACAAGCACAGATAATGATAAAGTATCCACCTTAAATTTTCCATTTTCGTCTTTTCTTAATTTTACTGACTTTACTTTGCCGTACTTTTCAAAGAATGTTGTTATTTCCTTTACATCCGGACAAGCGTCTGTTGAAAACCCTTTCTGGAATGGGAAAAGATTAATCAGCTGTCATGCGATCATCAAAATCGCTGTACGAGAAATTGATACTAACGGCATATATACTCTTAAACATTGGGCCTCTTTTTACTTGTTCAGGAATCGGCAGGAGTGTTGGAAGTTTACGACGCACCTAGAATCATCAAAGTGACAACCAGGTTAACCACCACGTAAATAACGATATAATATACAGTTACGTTGACACAGCTCTCTTCAGTAATTCATGTTTCGTACCTTTGTTCCGTCTTCGTTGACTTCCAAGAGCTCTGGAGATCCTCGCAAGGCCTCGACCACAAGACCTCTATCTGTATAAACTTTCATCTTGTTAAATGTAGCCAAAACATCGAGCGATACCCCTACACGATACGCAAACCGGGGAATTAAGGAAAAAAAAATCGTAGGCTATTTCACAAAATTAAATCACGACGATAACATCAAGGATACATCCGTCTGGATCCTTTTTTATCTCTCGATTCAAGAAAGTATCTGTCCTGAGGTTTTTGTTGCCAAAATAATATTCCACTTGCGTAAGTATGTTTCTTTTTGTCTCTGTGATATCAGTTGTTGCAGACACTTTCTTCTGATCTTGGTCTTCTCCTTCTTTACTCTCGCTTTCCAAGCACTTCTCGTCCAGGCCTTCCTTAACAGCTTCGGAATTCGTCTCTATCGCTTGTGACTGCGTATTTGTTTGCTCGACAGTAGCCATGATTTGTTTCTGCGTCTCGCGCATGAACCATTAATATGTAGTAACTGCGGCCAATGATAACCCTGGGACCTTGTGCAATCATAGAAGTTTGTTTATTTGTGTGGTTGATTTGTTCAATTTAACAACGCTTTAATTCGTTTATTATTATTCTTTAAATAAAAATTGTTTAGAGCACTATTAAGCACTGAAATCAATCCTTTCATAATAAAATTGATTTCTAGCGATTCGCATATCATTAAAATATGAAAATTCCCAATACTCGAAATAAATGATAACGTTAAAAGGAGAGAATTCAAATATTACGAAACAACAATCGAATACTACAAAGCAAATAGCAGGAAATTTAGTCGGAGTTATCGCATTCACTAGTAAAGCATATTAATTTAGACAACGAAATCCCCGAGCTAACAATACTCGAATTGCCTAAAAAATAACCATTATTACAGTATTATGCGCGTTCTCTAATCGTGATGATTATCATGACAACACGTGGAATGCCATTTATCGTGATCATGTAAAACCTCGAGAATTTTAGTATGCTTTTACCTGCCGGAAAATCGAGAAACAGTTACGATTCAGTTGCAGCCATGGAGGAAGAACTGGTTATGCCTTAATGTTAAGCCAAACTACTCAATATTAAAATTGCTTGTCTCGTAAAAACAGTTGCACAATTTTCGCTTCACTGAATACTTCTTCAACCGGTATGATATACGACATGCCAATTTCACGGTGATGGTATTCTAACCCAATTTCAACATGAATTAGAACGTACTCAATGGAAAACACATTGTTACAAATTAAGAGTCTTTGAGCAGAGAGTGCGCACTCATTGGAAATAATCCTCGTAATAGAGAACGAAAAATATATTCCTCTTTGGATGACACCTCGCCCCAAATCTAAGTACCCCAATTTATTAATAAGTCACGTGAAAAACAAATTTGTCTACAAAGTGAATGTTGGTTACGACGAGTTCCTCCTTTTTGAATTCGGGCAAGGTATGTGTGGAGAATGAACAGTGGCAAAGATAATGAGGCAATATATTTGAAATGAATACAAACGTCTGATGGATGGATAGACGGATGAGTAGATGGATGTAAAGTAGATTCTGTAGCAAGCTTGAAAAAGTTTTTTGAAGTTGGGATTTTAGCACCGATCAGTTTCCGTTGAGATGCAATTTATTAAGCTAAAAAAACCCTAACATTGTTTTATTATTTATTGATACAATCCATTAGAACAGGGAACCATGGGTGGTAAGTAATGTCTTCTCAGCTTGTGTTTGGTACAATGCTACATATTAATCGGTCGATATTACTTCAACTGACCCTTTTCTGCTTTCGTATATACAGCTTACAAGTACCTCGAGGAATTATACAAAAAAAAACAATCTGATGTCCTTCGCTTCTTGCATCGTGTAAGATGCTGGGAATACAGGTACTTTTGCATCAATTTACTTTTGTGCTTCATCCCTTTCCCCTCAATCGCCTTCTCCATGCACTTTATCTCCTCGTACTTCTGCGCAAAGTTCTGTTGTCGTTTACTTGTTATATGATACGGAACTAGCGAGAATGCGAGAGATTGGAGAATATATAGGCATGGAATTTAAACAATTTCATGACCAATGAACTAAGACTGAATGGGGATGGATCAATGTTTCTTTTTGGTGTGGGGGACTATTAGACAGTTAAATGTTATCCACCGTGCATCGCGTCCATCGAGACCTGATAAGGCACGTCGACTTGGTTACAAGGTGGGTTCAAACAATCAATCGCAATGTTTTGATAGAAATGGTGAGGAGTGGGAGTATACGTGTGACTTTAGTTTCTTTTTTCAAATGTATACATACCTAGAATAAACTCTGCTAAAAATCATCGGTTTTGCTTATTAAACTTTCTATTGATAAAGGCCAAGCAAGGATATGTCATTTATCGTATTCGAGTACGTCGCGGTGGTCGTAAGCGCCCGGTGCCCAAAGGTGCTACCTATGGTAAACCCGTTAACCAAGGTGTCAATCAACTAAAATACCAACGCTCCTTGAGGGCCACTGCCGAAGAACGTGTTGGTCGCAGATGTGCCAATCTGCGTGTATTAAATTCCTACTGGGTCAACCAGGTATACCACTGTCGCGCAAGTTCAAAGTCGGGTCGTCATTCACGCAACTGAATTTGATTGACATCCACTAATTGGTATTGTTTTATTGCTCAAATGCTGGCTGCGAATGTAGGATTCGACGTACAAGTATTTCGAAGTGATTCTAGTCGATCCATCCCATAAAGCCATTAGACGTGATCCGCGCATCAATTGGATTGCCTCGGCCAAACATAAACATCGTGAAGCTCGTGGGCTTACCAGTATTGGCAAGAAGAATCGCGGTATTGGTAAAGGGCATCGTTATAATAAGACAAAGGGTGGCGGTCGACATGCTAGTTGGCTTAGGAGAAATACGTTATCTCTTAGAAGATATCGTTAAGTTGTTTATGAAATAAAAAATGGAGTTTGTTTTGGTTGATTTTGCCTTTTCGATTTCTTGAAAGCGGGACAAAGCACGGCGTTTCTAGCACAAGGGTTTGATAAGTACAACACGAAATGAGTTTCCGAGCACAGTGAACCAACTCATACTATTAAGCCGTCGAGATTTACAACTAAAGATTCCAAAGTATTACAGTATGAAGAAAACATTAAAGCAACGGTTATTATATATAGATGTTAGAACATGTTGGGGGATTATTCAAAGATGGGATAAAATCTTACGACTGCAATTAGCTCTAATTACAGAAACCTCCGACATTTGTAACAGTGATAATGATTGCAGCGACGATCGACCATAATCATTTTTACCTGATTGCTGATGAATGGGAGGCATTATATTTCCAGAGAAGACATTCATAATTAATTCTGTGAGTAGCATCATGACTAAGTAATAAATGACAGTTATCCTTTAATAATCCAGCAGAAGGAACAGCGTTAATAATTTGACTTCTTTTTTTTTTATTTAATGAAAGAGCTATCCTAATTTAACACATAATACATAATACATAATACATAATACATGAATCTACTAATTGCTATTTTTTTTTGTTCGTCCTATCCCAACGCCAACTTCAATAACACAAACACTACCTCCCCCCTAAATACACGTATATACAAGTATGTAGTAGTATTTGGCCTAGGAATCAAACTCTCACAAACGTATCAAACGCCCCGGTAGGCCATAATGGTGTGCCCGCATTATTAGGATAATAGACGTCGAATACCGCCTTCAGGAAGCCCTCCTTACTGATATTGAAATTATCTCTACGACTGCCTAATCTGAGAATCTTTTTACAGTTGTCATTCGTCAATACATTCGTTGTGTCTAAAGCATACATTATGTTCCTCTTTAGTTCAAATGGTAAATCTAAAAATTCTGTTACTCTATGCGATTTTTGTTCCCTCAATTTCCCTGTCGCGTGTATGACAAGCCTCGATAAAACCAATAGCCTACAAGCCGTAGAATACTTTTCTGCCTGAAGGAAGTGATTCCTCAAAAGTGATTTGTCAATAGATTCGCTGATGCGCTCCCACTCCTCAAAATCGTAATCTAGCTGGACTCTCTTCAACATTGTATTTTCCTCAAGTGCCTCTGCCACAGCCTGATGACCATCAGCACCCATGACCCAATTTCTACTCAAGCTGATATTCTGCAACCCTTTATTCTCTTTTAATGAATCGCATAGGGCACGTATTCCTTGTAGTCCGATGTCACAGCTAGACAAAATAATCGATTCCAGAGTCATGTTTCGATATAGTCCGCTGGCAAGAGACTGGCATCCAATATCTCCAATGGGATTGAACTTGAGGTTTATAGCGCGGGGAACAGTGTGTCGGTCGAACAAGTCGGCCAGCGCTTTCACTCCGTTCATATTGCCATTTTTTCCGATGCAATTCAACTCCAAATCAACATATATTAGTGATCTGTTAGAGAGCATGGCTATACTCAAGTATTGTAGTCCGTCATTACCGATATCATTGCGAGAAACATAAAGATGTGTTAGAGTACTATTTGCTTTCAATGCTTCTCCCAGATGAAATGCACCCTCTGATCCAATGTTATTACAATCGAGACTGAGACTACAAAGTATCTTGTTGCTTTTCAATGCTTCACTTATGGCGGCCATCCCTCCGGCTTGAATGTTATTGCCACCAATATGGAGAAATTTCAGACTATTGTTATAAGCAACAATATCGGCAATGGCGGCGGCCCCAGCGATGTCGAGTCTGTTGGCTTCAATATTCAATCGAACAAGTGAGTTGTTTACTTTCAAAGCTTTTGCTATGGATTGAGCTCCCTTGGCTGTTATCCTGTTATGCCCAATTGCTATTTCACGGAGGACCTTATTTTTCTTCAGTAAACGAGAAAAATCCTTGGCGTCAGCATCGCGTATTGCGTTGAAGGAGAGATCTAGTACCTCTACGGTATTATTGTTGCTCAAGACATCGATTATTGTCTTAAGGATGCCGCCATGGAGATTGTTTCTGCATATACGCAGGGTGCGTACATTTGATAATTTATCTGCCTTCAATATTTTTGCGAGTACTTTTAGCTCGTTTCGTGTCAGGTTAAGGTTATCGTAATTGAGATTGTTGAAGCAGTGTGATGGCCCTCCTTTATAACTTCCCAGCAAATCATCTATATCTTTCTCCTCTAAATTATTTAATTTCCCTTCCTGGATGTCTTTTTGAACTTTATTGAATTTGAGGTATGTAACCACTAGATGATGGCCTTCCCGCGTAAGATATTTATCAAGTGAAATAGGGACCGAATGACTTGAAGTTGGAAGTGAGCGTGTGAGTGGCAGTTTTAAAGTCGTCATGATTTACAGCAGCCGTGCAGGGATATTCAAAGAATTGTACCTGTCGGGGTATTTAAATATTTACGGCAAGCGTAATTGAAATGGTTTGCTAAAGTGGTGGAACATCCGTTACGTTCTTCACCAAGGACTGCGTATAGTCATCGTATAAAGACGGTGGGTAAATATGATGGAATTTTCCTTGATGGAACTTTCCTGGTGTCACCATAGGAAAAAATTTTGTGTGAACAAGCGAATGTTAGCTGTTCAAGGCGTCATTACACGGCTTCTTCGGAACTTTCCATATTGAATATGGGTCTTTGATTAATATTAATATAAGCTTGTTGTCCCGCTTACCATAAATGGACTGGTTGATGTACACGGCGATGTCATGAACCAAGGGAACAGAGTAGTACAGAATTTTTGCGATGCCAATCGCATATCTGTGACGAAAATGTTTAATACAGAAAAGGTTTAGTAGTGTGGTAACTGCTTTATAAAAAGAGAATGACTTTAAACTACGTATGTTCCAGATCTTGCCAAGTTTTTTCGATTATTCGTATTTAATATATTCAAACCATTGCGTTATAAGGCTACAATTCAATGAAGTTGTATTAATAGATACATAGTAATAGGTCAATTCGATCAGTGGACATACCTCACCCCCTGTTTTCCTTTTTTCGGTATTAAACACCTCTCGATAAGTTGGATTACAGAGGCTGATGTGGCTGAAGATCAACTAATTTGACTAATACAGTCTTTACCTTCATTTCAAGCAAAATTAATTCTAATATAAAACCTATTCGGATAGTAATGTGCTTAATCGATGATAGCTCTACACGGTGTATGTAGTATATATATGATATTAATATTATGTTCTTCATTTGGGAGAAAAACAGTGAAAAAATTTAATTTTCGGGGAAAAGTAATTATTATAGCATATTTACATGACATATTATTATTATTAATCAAATAACTATTACAACAACAAAATATTTAATTACTAATTAAATACTTCACCATAGTCGTAGGTGAGAATTCTTGATTTCATATTTTTGGTTAACTTTTCGAGGACAGCTTGCTGGTTTATTTTTTTCATTTGTTAACTTCTCAGTCATTTTTTAATCTAACATGTATTGTAATATCCCATCTCAAATAAAGCAGACGGCAGTCTGTATAAATTCAGCTGGTATGTGCCCTCGAAAGATACTGAGGTAAGTTAACGTCAATAACTCGTAAGGGAAATCCCCGTCCACTCAAAATGAGTCGTAAGGGACGTTATACTCAGAGGTTAGTGATGATGCACAATGTACGTTGCAATTGAGTTACTTTTTCGATAGGTTAAACATTAAGGTGGACCGTAAACGATCTAAACGTCATAACACGATAGACTCCCTTCTTCACTTAACACTGTTAGTAAGAAAGTCACCAAATGTTCGCCACGAAGGAATACATAGTAAAGCCACTACGGTACGAGCCGACGGAAAGACTCGCCCCGTCTTGATACAATTGACTAATATTACGATTTACTCTCTCCGCTAAGTATGAAAGCCGTTGAGCTCAACTCGACTGTTATTCCTGTGAACATTAGCTTGGGTGCGCTGAGAATGGATACGAGAAAATAAATGAAGAGATTGTATCTCTGGTAAATCTTTCTCTCTAGGGGGAAGACAAAATTGAAGAATTGGTTGTTATTGTTTCCAACCCGCCTGCTGAGATAGGATACCTTTTAAACTTTGGATCGTCCCATTGATAGTTTTATTCGTAATCATTAGTTTACTAATTGCATTTTCAGAAATTTAAAATTTCAACTATTAACTAAATTTCTATTTTTCTCCATGTCCATAAAGTGAGAATGTAAGGTGATTCCGATAGTTTCTTTGTTTCGTAAATTCAATTCCGATCTCGTAAATTAATTGTTGTATAATGGTATGGAGGAGTTTTAATATCCTGTTCTAAATTATTTAAAATTTTTGAAAATGTCTCGCTATTACTATAAATGGAAAACTCTGGAAACTTTGTACGCCAATAAAGGAAATAAAATATTATCGTTATCAGCACAAAATTTTTTAGTCGAAAATCTTTGATTAGTGGGAAATTCATTTTGAAAGTATGCTTCCAACACCTTCGCATGTTGCATCAAATCCATCAATACTCTACTATCTTCTTTCAACTTATCTTTCACCTACTTCAACTTCTTTACTTTCCGCGAACCTCCCTTTTGTTCTCAAATCGATCACACTTCATCAATTGCTCAAACAACCATCGTCGCACCCGTATCTTCATAAATGGATCACAAGAATAAATTCTTTGACGCAATCAAAGATTGCGGAAGAACGTTTTGCTGGCGTGTGTTGCATGAGACTTACAATCGAGCAGGTGGATGACGTTATTGGAGAGTGGGGTGTTAAATGGGCAGGATGGTTGGTCGGCCTTTTAGTGGTAAGTCCATGTAAGAATGAGAATAATATATTAGGTTAGATAGACGACATCCAGGAAAATGTCACATTAATAACAGTGACGATTGCATGGTTGTGATAAGTTACCGACCGTTTTCTTGACAGAGCATACAAGCCAATTTCATGAGCGCTGACCAAAATTTGAACTGATCTAAAGTAGCGACCCGAGTCATCAACAACCTTGGAAACTGTTATCTCGACGTTGTCGGAATTATTTGACAAGACAATCGATAAACCACAACTACAACGAGAAATCACTGCGCAATTGATTCCTAAATTCAATTCGTGTTTGATAAATCTGTCGGGCAATAAAAAATTACTGGTATGTGTGTTTTATACTATGCCTTGTTAAATTTCACTTTTATTTTTTCAAGGTGGTCACAATCACTAACCAAACTCTGTAGCGAGTGATTCTAAAAGCTCTTACTCGCTCAGCCTACTCTTTTCCCACACTGTTCCGCCCGGTTTTCTCACACGCCCAAGCGCTTTGCATCTCTCTGCTGGATGGAACGTACTATTCTTCATCACAGATACCATCTTTTGCAGCTGAATGTTTTGCCAGTGTGATTATGGTTGGAGGGAGGGTCGGTTCAGCAGAGAGATGGAGAGAGACCATGGAAAGAGCAATTGGATGTGGAAACAGCATCTTGGATAGGCTATTGGAAAGTGTGGACGAAGGTAAAGTGAATTATTGATCAGCCTTTAAACCAATGACGCATATAATGATGCCTTGCGCAAGTTCAATGTCAGCTCACTTTTTCTCTTCTTTTTGCAGAAAAGGACGAAAAGAGGAAAGCGGTTCTTGTATTTGATATGCCGACAGTGGATGACGATTATGTTACCGGTTTTCCAGTTTTAATCAGAAGATTTGAGGCGTTTTGTGAATGTATTGTGAGCCTATTAAGGTAAATCGCTATTATTGGGTTTTAAAACCACTTGATGCTTATTGATTTTGCTGAATTTTTTTAATAATTGTCATGCAGAATTAAGGCATCAGTACCTTTGAAAGTGCCTGTCAACCAGATTATTGATCTTATTACAAGAGTTTACAGTGTCAACAGTAATTCAATTGTGTGTATTCAAAACATTATAAGAGATTATTCTACGAGTTTTGGAACTGGTTTGCTGATATTGCTTTTTTTTTGTCAACTAGTTGGCTGAGAATGCAGATAAGAATGAATTTACAACGATAATGGCTGGAATAGCGTCTCTGCATTTTGCTATCAATAAATTGCTTTCAGGATTGATTCTTTGGTAAGGGTTTAATCTTGCAAATAAAAAGTCATTTTCATTACTTTTTATACGTATTAAACTCTGACTCAACATACTAAACCTAAGACAGTTCTGATGTAACAGTGTAGGAGACAGCCTTTTAAAATATTTGAGGCTGCTTTCCCAAATTTTTCCAAGTATTTTGAATCAATACAAACATCATGGGTATGCTTTGGCCATTGGCGATCTAGTTTGAAGTTTGATAGCTTCAGATCTGATTAAATTTAATTATGTTTCGTATTTAGGCTTCTCAAAAGCTCTACGTACAATCTTTTCAATCTCTGTTTACAAAAATATGGGATAGGTTTTGGGAATTTAATTTCTTCACCCCTTCTGTCAGCAATATTGTCGGATATAGAGGACACCCCGAAGGTAAAGGAGACTGTCGGCAGTATGTCAACAAGCGCAAAGGTATGCATTTATTCTTATTTAATTATATGACTGTATGAAGGACATGTATAAATATGATAACGACATTTCGAAGAAAGCAGGAAAAGAGAAGGATAACGTTTCTACGTCAGATTCTCTAGTAAACCCACCTGTAATTAACAGTCATTTTGATGTAGACATCAAACATGCTGCGTTAAAAGGTGAGAAACCGCGAGGCACAATTTTCTTCATTCAGCATAGTATTATATTAACTACAATTCATGTCGCTTTTTCTATTCAAAGTGTTGAAAACATTCTTAATAGTCAGCAGTCACTCTCTGCCTGCAACCGTTCGTAGAACGGTCGATAACGTTATACTCTCTCAAATTTTAAACCTGGGAGGCATGGTTGACAAGAAGTCTGCAGGGTTTGATGAAAACATAGAGCTGGCTTTGTACGATTGTTTATTGTCTTCTGTGATAGCTCCGTCTGATATTCAAGCCAATGTGATGCCAATGGCTTTGAAGGTGTTTCAGAATGGATTAAATTCAAGGATAAATCAGGTATAATTAGCGAATAAAATCTGTTGTATGTTATCAATTCACTGCTCTCGATACAACGCTAACACGAAATTTTCATAACAGGTTCAAGCATTTTGCATCCAAGCTCTATCAATTTGTGATCTGGTATATCATTCCCGTCTTCCTCCACTTCAACACACGTCTGATATTTCCACTTCATCCTTTCCACCGCCTCGTGACAATCACCAAAAGCAACCTGTTGTTGAGACCACGTATACAAAGGAGCCTGACGATATGGTAAAAAGAGATTTATTGAATACAGATGAAGAATTACCTGACAGTACGGTAGAAAGAGATTTATCTGATACAGACGAAGAATTGCCTGACATTGTTTTAAGTTCGGATACTGGTGAGGATGATGGATGAATTATTAATCATAGATGATTGATACCATGTCTTTTTTGTACGAATGGGACGAAAAACTTTAAATGATTAGTTATCTTGTCAATAAAAACTGAAATTTTCCGAACAGGCATTGATTACATTGTTTCAATTGGTTCTCATCGCTGGATCTACAGACTAGTTTCTTTTCGATTTTATTCATGTATTAGATACAGATATACTGCATTACAAAATATAATACAACACAATTCATAATACAATACTGCACATACATCAGGTGGGTAGAGATAATCCGTTGAGATTGCATCCTTATATCACTAGAATCAGAACAATAATAAAAGGACTACTTGTAGAAGGTCCGAAACAAGTGCATTGCTGCACTTACGTCCGCACTAAGCGTAACCATACAAATACACTCTTTACCCATCCATCATCATTATTATTAGTCATTGTATGTTCCCGCTCATCTCGAACGGACGGAGCGCTGATGCCGGTTTCAAGATCTCTTTCGTTATCAACATTATTGCTCTTCATGCTCTTTGAGATTGACTCGTTCACTTCGTTTGGTTTCTCTGGTCCTTCCTGCCCGTTCGACTTTTCATCATTTTGTACATCTTTTGCCCATCCACAAGTCCACTTTATATCCGGGATGACAACCTGGTGGCTCTTATATTCATATATTATTCCACAAACAGCCAACACGAACCCACACGCTATTAGTACATATATTCCTGCATTTGGTGTAAATCTCCATTCGCCATCAGTAAAAAACAGCTGAAACGAATCACGGAAGCCTATTCGAATAAATTCGTCGATACCGTAAAGGACAGTGAACGAACCTCCGATGGAAGTGGAAACAATGATCACGTCTTTCAAGTAAATGTGAGTTATTAGGCAAGCAATTGTGATTGAAATCCCTACAATGGTGTATCTGATAGCAACTATTTGTATATGTCCTACTGCCAAGAGAGATATTGAGAACGCAAAACTATAATACAAGAGACAGTGTTAGCAAGAAACGAGTAAAATAATAACTGCACATAGTGATAGCGTCTTATATGACTCGCATTTATACTTACGCTCCGTATGCAGCAGTTAACATCAGTCCCAGATGCCAACAGAAGAAACTTAACAATCCTCCAATTGTCCCGACTGACAACCACACTATGAAATAAAAGAAAACAGAATGTGTAGTCTTATAGGCATTATCAATCATCAATATGATTACCGTTGCCGTGCTTGCTGTAAAGTAAAATAATTGTCAGCCTATATCGAACCGGATAAACACAAAGGCGCGCGGAAACGCATACTAATACATACACCAGAAAAGAAATCCCATAACGAGCAAAGTAATTCGAATATATTTATACCCGTAGAACACCTCCAACAGTCCGATAGAAATGAAGAGTAATCCGTAGATTACGTTGCTCCATAACAAACGCGTCTGGAGAACAGTAGCTATTCGAAGTATAACGGGTAAATGCAAGCAGGAATATACTCTGCATGAAAACGAGTTTTTCTTTTCTCAAGATACTTACGTGGAGCTCCATAGGTAGTATTGTAGGTAGGCGAGGATTCATTAAGTTCATACTTTGTCAAATGAACAGGGGTTGTCACAATTCCGCTTGAATTTTCATTATCTTTTCCTATGGCCGTGACGGTAAGAGGATAATGAAGAAAGAGAATAAGAAAAGATAAGAAAAGGATATGCCGAATTGGACACATTATTAATAATGCGGAGTGTGTGTCAATAAGGCATAAAGAGTGTTAGGGAGCTGTGGAATGTGGAAGGGACTTAGACAGAAAGGCAGTAAATGATACGGGTCATGTTGTAACAGATTAAAATGAATGAGCGTTAAAAAACGAGCTTACATTCCAGCGCTTATTTATGGTGTAACACTCCTTACTGTCCAATTCCTAATAAAGTTAGTTCGAAAAATTGAGGAAGGTCACCAAATAATTTGGCTAGTGTCTTTTCCGAAAATATTTTTTGTCGATCATTCCCCAAAGACACATAAAATTGAGGGTTGAAATGTTCGTCTATAACCAAGACAGAAATGTCACAATTGAACACTTGACACAGTTATAACAAAAATGTTGCTTCTGAACTTGCTTTTTCGAACGATTTGCATTTGTAATGAAATAGACGTTCGTTCGAAAAGAATCTTTTGACAAACTTTTACCCGGCAAATTATAATAGTATTATAGTTTCTTCCTTCATTGCGCACAGTTTCTTCCATTGCAACTAGACGCTGGCGTGGCTATTCTATATTAATAAGTGCTATTCATAAACAACTTATTAAATACTTTTACCGTTTGTTTTCACAGCACTTGCTTTGGAGAAATGGGGGAAAGAAGACTCCGTAAGTAATACATACATATCCGTATATGAGTAAAGCAAGAGGGAAATGTTAGACTATTCTGTTGACAGGTCACTGAGTTTTCTTGTATGCTCTGAAATACAATTTGCTTCTACAACAACTAGCAAGAGTTATGCAAATTGATACAGAATAAATATGACTATACCGCATGGTTTGATTCTTCAAATACGCGAAATCAATTTTCGTCGTCGATAATCACTAACTCGACAACAAAGGATCCAATGCTTATGTAATTCACATACTTGTTAATGATGAGTCATTAATGTGTGTGTAAAAAATTGACATGGAATATTAAGTATGATTTTGAGTTTACATATTAATATGACGATTTATTTGATTTTTCGAAAACGCAAAATCAATCAAGAGAATCGTTAACGCAAATTCAAAATCGTACTTGATATTTCATGTTGCGAGACTATTCTTCAAACAATCATCGCTTGCATTTATTACTTCTGTACATCTAGCTTGGTACACTACAAGTCGAATGCAGTGTATAGTATTTTCTGTTTTTTAATAGTCTAATTACAGGTGGAAGTAAGTTGTATTCATCCGAGTCATACCTAAGACATTTATTACACGTATAACAGGGACTGGAGAAGATGTCATGATAACTGGAAATCCAATTCTATGCAATTACAAAACAGAAAATTTAATATGAATGAAAACATTGTAACTGTTGATTAGTCAATAATAATTTGCTTACCAATAGGTCGTGAATTGGATTATCTGTATCCAAATCATTGAGCTTATTTATTGCAATCTGAGTAATCTTTTGATATACCAACAGATCGGATGATTCACGTATTGATTTCTTATAATTTTACAATCGGTATACATTAATACCAGTAATTTGGACACACACGGAATTCGCGGTTTTTCTTCTTTTACCTGCTCATTTGCTCCAGTAAAGGATATCCGTATGATCGAGATTGGTATTCCAGTCCTACCTGTCTTGAATATTATTGTTACCTTGAATATTCCATCCACGGTCACCTATAAGAGCAAATAGAACGTATTAATAGAAGGGATGGCATACGAACTCGCGCCTTTACAAATAAATGCGGTGATTTACACACTGCCATAGTGGATACGTTTCGTTTTGCTTCGGGCGTGATGTGTTCTATCTGCACTTTTGGTTTTGGAGGAGCTTGCGATAACCATGATTTTATTATTTCGTCCAGACTACGCGGAAAAAAAATGAATAACAAAGATTGCGAGATTAGACAAAGGGTTACAGTACATAATCGCAGATATCATCATGCAATGATCTACCTTTTATCCAAAGCTTTTCTGTCCGGCATAGTGAGATCTTTGATAGGTGTGAAGTATTTGTTATATTCGTCGAGAAAAACACTTGTAGGTTTAAAATAATATCAATATGACGAACAGACATTATTAACAATTGCAAAATTCTTTCAAGCTTACTCCAACGCATCTCGACCATTCTGTTCAATTGTTTGACGGTATGTTGTAAGAGACAAATCAGGTGGGTCTTTATGGAGTCTAAATCACGAGGTCGAATTGTTAGTTGATTATGTTAACGCACCAATGTACTATATAATCCCTCAAGTATTAACAAAACTGACTTTAATAATGGAAGAGATTTCATATCTTCGCCTCTGGCCTCAACAATTTTCTCAACATTCTCTAAAAAACCTGATGTAATATATGAATTACTTGACACAGTCGATTAGTTAATTAAACTGTTTACCGTCATTCTCACCTTTGCAAATCTCGACTTGATTGCTAAATGACTTTTCTGCGAGATACGTCTTCTCTAATTTAACTCGAAGGGTGTCAATATGAAGTATAACGGGCGGCAGTTCAGCAGCAGCAGAATCTTCAGATAAACTAATAGATTCAGAGGAATCGTCTAAATGGAAGTGTATACAGATATGTTAATAGATCAGAGCTAAGTATCGAATTCATCTCATAATTCTACACATAATTTTCAATGTAATTCACCATCTGATTCATCTTTTTCTTGCCACGTTCTCCCCAAATAATTGTAAAGGTCTCCTACAGATATACGTAAATCATCTAGCTGTGAAAAATTATTAATGTTAACATTATTTAAGAGTGCCAAATGATTAGCTCATAAGAACCAATATACTAACTGCTTGTATTGCAGTATCTAAACTTGTTTTATGATTTTGTACGTTAAACAAAGACATAGCAAAGACGGTAGTCTCTCGAATCTGTTGCTGATCATTTTGTTATTTTTGAATTTTTATTGGTCCAAACATAATATTTGAACAAATATAGTAAGCAATATTAATAAAGACCGCATTACATAAAATTGCAGGCTGCTTTTTTCAAGAGACTTGCTCTTTATTACTACCAGAACTTTAGTATACAGTAAGAGCTACATTAAAACCTATCATCACTAATAACTCAAAGTTTAAATTAAGGAAGGCAAGTCCTGTAAGGGAACAGGTTCCCGCGTCAGCCTAAGCAGTGCCTAAGCTGACTCTTTTTTGTAAGATATCGAAGAATAATATTGCGAGCACCGTTAATATCTCTATCAAGCTTTGTTTTACATTGAGGACAGCAAACCACACAGAATCCACAAGTTTTGCTTGTGTATTCTGTGTAAATTACTGGATGCTCACGTGCCATATGGATTGAAAACGATAATGTCATGTACATATGGCTCGAGCAGTCTTACGTCGTTGACCACGTCGGACCATTCCTTGAGTGCGAAATTCATTTAGCCAGCTTATAATGACAGTCATTCACAAGACAACGGATCCTCTTGTGAATACGTAACATAATACGATGCAATCTACAACTGGAAGTAGTATACAGGTTAAAATAAATGAATTAATAAATAAATTTTACCTGTAACGTTTTCGCTCCTCCCCCCCCCCCAATGAATACTATCGCGCTTACTTTGAAGCTTGTCACATGCATGAAAGATGGAATTCACCAAGACGATTCATAACAGGACGGCTATCATATTCAAGACTTGAAAGAGGCTCTGCCGACTTGTGATATACGGAGTGAAGCTACCAATAACTTCTTAAAGGACATTCTTCCAACTTTGCTGCAAATCGTAAAAATTCAATGAGGCTTCGTTTTAAATTAATTCTCAACAGTCAATTACAATAATTTCCAACACTGGAGCAAGTCTCGTGGGGAATATGCATTTCTTCATAAAGTTAGTGAGTCTCAAGGACCCATTTGAGTTTGGTATTATTGAAGTTTACGGCATTGAGGCATCGCGCCCTCAAAAAAATTTTGTTTCGATTGATACACAGGAACCTGGATACAATAAAGTGTCCTCTTTCTTCATTATAGCAGTTTGCGACACAATATTTCAAAGCTGTTGGAGTTTCCTAAGAAAAAATTTTTTCGATGTCTAGCTCGAAGCTGAAATACTTGGGTATGTCACTTTATGTCTATAACTACTTTCACAATGAAAAATGCAAGTTTGAATATTCTGATGCTAGATTACTGGAAACGTAATCCCAACACATGGAGAAGCGTAAACGATTGGGATGTTTACTGGATCGAAAAACTACCTTCAATAAACAGCAGTCACATACGGCCTTGGCTCATGAGTTAAGGTGTTTGAAAGAAGTATATGAAGATACCCATCCTGCCTATAAGAAGGCCTGTGTATTGCAGGAGGAATTACAGGGACCAAATCACCCCATGTTATATCGGAAATCTAAAAACTTCTTTAGCGAAGGAGTATTTGTGTTTTGCCAGAAGGCTATTCATCCACAAACAGAAGGTTACAATGTTGTCATAAGGAATCACTGGCACAGTTTGTCTTACCGCGGCACTTAAAAGTATTCAGACATTCGGGTTTCAAGTTCCATTTTAATAGATAAAGCGTTCGCGTGCCCATGATTTAAATCACGCGTTCTTCAATTCTATTGGCCCGCGCATGATGACGTTAATGCCATGATCATAAACAGCCACAACAGGCCACACTGTATGCTTGCGTTTCTTGGGCTTCGGCAATTTTCCAACCCGTAAAAGCCAGGGTTTCAACACCAGTCAATGCAGCTGCAACGTAAGAGGCGTCAGTGAAGTGGTCTAAAGAATCAAAGCTTCAACCTTTGATCATAAGCTGCTTTATGCGGGGTAGCTTGGTCTTTGCGTGAAATTCACATCAGCACCGCAGCGGGCGATCTTGAGCTTCGGCCATTTTAATCTTTCCAACCCGTAAAAGCCAGGGTTTCAACACCAGTCAATGCAGTTGCTACGCTAAAACTTGTTTATGATTTCTTTCTCAATATTCCTTAAATCCGTAACACAACATTCCATAAAAGCATGTCTATGGTACCGATTATCTACGATATAAAAAAATCTTTTCTTGAAAGTAGAAACAGAACCAGTTTACAGTTTGGTCTACAGTATGAAACGAGTCCTCATTCAACTGATACCACGCTGTTGTTATTGGAATGAGATAATTAATCAAGATTCCATATAAACGCTGAATCGTAAACTTTGCAAAAGCATTAAACCACTCGAATGGCTCAAAATCTGTTTGAAAATTTTCCTTCTGAAATCCTAGATTCTATAGTTGAACTTGTCGTATCAGAATACGATTCGTATTCACATGAATTTCATTCAGTATCTCTCCGAAAACGTGATCTGTTACGGATAGCCTATTCGTGCAAATGTCTCTGTTTTCCTTCTCTACGAAAATTGTGGGCCAACATCTTTGATGGGTCGTTTCACATGCCAGCCTTGGAGGTTTTATTGATTTCATTACCACGGGATATCAAACAGTCTTTGGGAATTTACGCTTTGGTTCCTGAGACGACATTTATGAACTATTGCCAATACATAAGATCCGTTTCATTGGAAACGCTATTTTCTAACATCCATAGATGGTTAGAGAAACACCAATCCAGAGGTTCTTTAATTTACAATACGCTTGAAATGCGGAGAGAAGTTGCTCGGGAACTGCTTCGACAGTTCAAGACTTGTACCAAGCCTCTTGAGAAGCTTCGATGTGTCGGATTTCATCAGAATCCGACGTGGATAATCAATTATCAACTTGTTCTTGAACCCGAGTTTACTCAATGGATTAGCAAAATAACCATCCTAGTTATTCGAGGAGCATTTAATTCTGCAGTTTTAATTAACGGACTGGCAAGGAATTGTAGAAACATTGTAAGTATGAAACATATTTCGCTGATATTCAAACATTATTGGACCTTCATCGCAATTGATGGTTTCGTTTATTATTGCTGAATTCAAATTTAGGCCAAGTTTGTATTCAGCTTTTATCGTTTCGACACGGACTCCTTTACTGAAATCATGCAGGCAGCCTTGGAACTTATAAACGTCCAACACAAACTCAAATGTCTTGTCTGGAATGGAAGTCACGCAGTTCAAGGGGACGATCCGAGCCCTGTTCTCGAAATTTTGCCCAATCACGCCGGAACACTTACTTGTCTTCGATTTGAGCAAATGGACTTCTCACACATCCAATCGTTGGAAAATCTGGCAGCGTGCGATAATTTGGAAAGTCTTACTTTTGAAGGTTGCAGTAATATCACTTATCAAGCGGTCCAACCAATGGATCAAGGACTTCAACGGCTGAGAGAGATCAAGTTGCTCGAGTGTCAGAATTTTGATCCGATGGAAACATTTGCAAGGGAAAGAGGTATTCTAGTACTTCCTCCCGGAGTTACATTCTATGACACTTGACAGTATATGTTCGTTAACGAAGAAAAAGTCAAAGTCATTTGCAGTAGAATCGTAATACTGGATTAGGACTTAATATTTACAGCAAATAAGATTTAAAAACTGGCTTTGCACCTGTTAAGTCAAAAGAGCGGGGAAAGCCACCTATTATGTATTATTTATTGCAACTCTTGAATTGATAACTTGTCATTGATGTGAGCACGAGCAGTCGCGATAACATCTTTAGTTTGCAGACTTGCGTCAGTTGTAGTAAATACGAGATATGTCTGAGTCGGCAATAACACTAATGTGCCTTGTAATATGATGCATTCTTCTTTGTGTTATAAGGGCGGGGCGCTAATTTAACGTTAAACGAATTACAAAGATATTATTTTATGTCACGCGATTTCCCGAAAAAATCAGTTGCAGAGATGCTGTTATCAAACTTCAAACTAATGTTTGCATCACATGGCGTTACATTTGTATTAAAAGCGAAGTTACTTTCTGTTCCCATTCATTCTCATACGAATTATAACTATTTGTCATGAAGGCTCGAGCAAGCGCTGTTTCTGCCCAGCAGCGTTAGGTCGTACCTATCACAATGCATACTCAGGTTCTGCCTTATAAACAATGCAAGATCAGTTCCCCTGTTTCGAATTAGCAGCCTCGTGCGTTTCTTTTCTATGATAGTACGTATATTTTATCTTATCGAGAACAATTCGAGTCTCTCTCGCTCAATGAACGCATTGCTTATCGATACGCGTGCTCGTCCTTCGACACAGTCAATGTCTGCAAACGAATTCAATATATTTGGGTTTATCGTTAATATCAACAGTTTGTTATTGTGTCAATTACACCAACCCGTCTTGTTACATCGATTTGTTGTTATTTTGCTTGAGACACATGACTCTTTTCTGATATAGTGATAAATATTTGAAAGCAGACATTGCTATCTCTAAACTATATATTAATCCAGTGATAGAGTTTAAAACGGAAGACTTTTTTTTTTCTTGGAATTTACAGTCGGGAAGAGTCAATTGGAATGTTTTGCGTTGACCATAATAAAAAAGCCCACATCAGCCCTGATGTATCACGTTTCACGATCAATTTAACCAATGGATTTATTTGCGATAGGAGATTTGAGATAATCCCAAATTTGGAAATGTTTGAAGGGAAAGTTATTTTTAGCAGTATTTGTCATCAACGTTTGCAATGGAGAAGTTTTCCTAATTACTATTACTTCAAGAATCAAGTTTCAATCAAACAATTTTGTAGGAATTAATTAATCGCATGATGATTATAACTCGATGATAAAAGGCTACACACATATACTTGTTTGAGCATTAATGGGGATTAATAACAACTCAAATAGGCTTTATCCGGCTTGGAAAAAATCCGATAAATTTATTTGAAAAAAAAACCTGTTTGTAATCTGGCTATAAAAGCGTGGCTTATCCGCAAAGCAAAAAAAAAATTATAAATGAGTGCATGGCACAATAGAATAAACACATGTCTTCTATCAAATCTATAGAAAATCTCCCGAACGAACTCGTTGAAAGCATAGTCGATTATGCAGTCGAATGCGATCGTTTTTCATGCGAATACCATATTCAAGGTCCACGGAAACGTCAGCTTATGCAAATAGCATTTTCATGCAAGAAATTGTGTCGAGCTGCTTTAAAGATTTTATGGAGAAATAAATTTGACGGGGACTTTAACTTGGCGTCCTTAAAACTTTTGTTGGGATGTCTGTCAACGGAAACCAAACAATTACTGTCGATAGACGATTCCACTCCCGCCATGCCATATGACACATTCATAAATTCGATTTCGCTTGAAAAGTTATTCCGCTATGTCGATGAATGGCTCGAAAAACAGGGAAACAGCCAGCTTGAAAAGCGGAAAGAAGTTGCGCGTGAATTACTTAGATTATTCAAGTCAAATGAAGAACCTCTGGAGAAACTCCGATGCGTCGGGTTTCATGAAAACAGAGTATGGGTCACGAATTACCAAGTCATCCTTGAACCCGAGTTCAACCAGTGGATTGAAAATATACATATTCTGGACATCCGAGGAACTTTCGATTTTACCGACTTGGTAGATACACTGGTCAGCATGTGTACAAACATTGTGAGTATTCATTAAATAATTAAAACATTTAATTCAATAGTCAGTCAATACTAATACAAGTATCAAAATTTCTACTCATTCAGTCTAGCGTCACATTCAGTTTCTATTGCTTTGGTACAACACCCTTTGTTAAAAACATAACAACGGCTCTGAAACTGATAGAAGCTCAACAAGCGCTACGCGTTCTTTCCTGGAGTGGCATACAGGGAATGCAGAGAAACCGTGAGGATTCTGCGGAGGAGAATGAGCGTGCTATCTATGGCAATGATCCTACAGAAATCCTTGCCAACTTGGTTAGACACAGGTTTACTCTCAGAGAGCTTCGGCTGGCGCATATGGATTTTACAAATATTGATTTATTGGGAGAACTGGCGCTTTGCCAGAATTTACAACTCCTTACTTTTGAATATTGCAGCAACATCCGTGCTAGAGCGATCGAACCAATGATGAACGAAGCGTATGCAAGTTTGGAGAAGATTGAAATAATTAATTGTGTAGACTTTCAGGCAATGGAAGATTTCGCGCGAGATAGAGGAGTCTTGCAAAATAATCGGGACTCGTCGGATGATAATTCTGACATGTGGAGTTAAAGAGCAGAGAGTTGTTCTTTGTTTTTGTTTTTGTTTTTGTTTTTGTTTTTGTTTTTGTTTTTGTTTTTGTTTTTGTTTTTGTTTTTGTTTTTGTTTCTGTTTTTGTTCTTTACTTTTTTGATTATAATTGTTGTATTTAAAGTTTTCTTGTGACATATATTTCTTATATATTATATCATACTTACATATATAAATATATACATGCGTAGATACATACATATACACACATATATACATACATACATACGTAAATACATATATACATATATACATACAGTACATACAGTACATACATACGTAAATACGCATTCGCGTACATGAGAATAGACGAGTCTTGTAATAAATTATAAATAAACTCGTAAAGTTCCAGTTGACAATGTCAACATCGTAATATGATGAGCACCGCACTGTCATAATAATGACACGTTTACACGCTTTAAAATAAACGTGGTTTACTGGGAAAATCTTAGACGAATAGAAAATTATACTAAAGGTCACGAGCGAATTCAACGGGTCCTACTGGATGATCAGCAAAAATATTAAAAAAGACATGCTAGAAACGCATCAATAGCTAAAACTGATAATGCCAGTCCAGCCCTCCGCTTCAACACCTACACCAAAGCTTCACACTCGCCTCTTTCCACCTTCCCCAAACTGGAACGCCCCTAAGGCTATTTCTGTCTCTCCACCTATCCTAGCCTATGCCAGTCGTGATTTAGTAATTCTTTTGCATTCAGATACGTTCGAATATATCGGCTGTCTCGCAGGACATGGAGATAGAATAAACGCGGTAGAGCTGTCTGAGAGATATTGCGCTAGCGGGGGGAGTGACAATACTATTAGGTGCTGGGAAGTAGAGACGCGGAAGCAAGTTGGATACGTCAGTGGGTTCAAGGTTGTAGTAAGAGGTGATTAATTGTCGTTTTTTTAGTGGTTCGATGTGACTCTTATTAAACAGATTTACCTGTTCATTGTCTAGAATGAAGTGCTTTCGCTTGCCTGGACTACAAATAAAGAGTTTGTTATAGCCGGTATAGTTCTGTCAGTAGCTCTTGTCACTTTGCTCTTCTAGACACTCATGAAAAATCATTGATTTACCCGGCTTCAACGCAGGAGACAAATCTGGAGAAATAGTAGCATGGGACACAAAGACAAACAAATATTCCATATCAGTCATAGTAGCGTCACCAGTCTATTGTATAGCAGCCTCACCAACCGTTAAGGACGTAGTAGCAATTGGGTACGAAACGCGTAATGTTGCCCCTGATTCTCTCTATAACAATTTTTAATATTGTGCGTAATGAAATCGTTTACATTATTACACCAAAGATATCAGAATGGATCGATTGTTATTCTAAAATATGATTCAAGTCTCCAAAACCAAATTCTCTACCAATTACAGGGTCATGATAGTGAAATTCAAAGTTTATCATGGCAGCAAGGTATTATTTTGCCATTCGATCTGGCACATCTCTTTAACATTTATTCTTTTGGCGCGTAACTCACATTTACATTAACTTAAAGCTAGTCCTACATCTACGTCTGCAATGTGCACGCCTTGCAACCCTTCATCTTTTACTTATCTCATTTCCGGCTCAAAAGACAGAACAGTACGCATTTGGAATGTGCCTGAAGAGAGGACCGTTCGGTTGATTGAACTTCCTAAACCCAAACAACGATTAACTGAACAGCAAAAAAATCGTTTGTGGCTTGCATCGGTGTGGGTTCCGGGAAGTTGGAAAATTATTACGAGTTCATACATGTAAGTCAGGGGCAGATACACTTGTATATAGTTTTAACCTTTTAGGGAGGAAGAAATCAGACCGCATCGGGTTTTAACGGAACTTTGCATTATACTATTGTAGGGGTTATTTATATGAATGGGATGTTGATGCTAGCAATTCGTCAAGTCTAAGTTTTGTTGGTGGACATAATAGAAGCGTATTTGCAATTGTTGCTTATCCATGCGGGACACGAGCCGTGACTATTTCTATGGATAGACAGGTGAATTGTTGAGTTGAGCTTTTTGACAAGCCATGACATTGAATAGAAGTGAAATATTTTCTCGCACGATGCTAAGTCAATTCTAGACTCGCATTTGTAGTTTCGATCGTTTCTCTTTACAATCACTTTGACAATGCCTTGTCCTGCTTGACTCTAATTTTTTTACCATATTTTTATTTGACCCTATAGTTAATAATATGGCATCTTCAAACGCACCGACCTCACCAGTCTATTCTTTGCCTAGGCAGTTATGTCTACGAACTTGATGTCTCCGTCCCCGACCCCACTAAGCTAGCAATTGCTCTAGGAGATAACACCATTCGCGTTTGGAATTACTCACACCCGTCCGATTTGTTTAGTTCCATAATGTTATGGAAAGGACTCAAAGGCAAGATAACTAGTCTGAAATGGCATCCTACTCAAGAAGGTGTTCTTGCTTTTGGAACTGACATGGGCTCAGTTGGCGTGTTTGATGTCTATAACGAGAAACATAAATTGTTTAAGAGTCACCATAGAGGAAAAGTTTATGCTATTCAATGGGGAGAGAAAAAGTGGATTGAGAGGGAAACTGGTGTAGGAAGAGCTGAAGATGAAATGGAGGAGGATGGAGAGTTGGATGGAGAAGGATCTAATAGGGGGAAGAAGGAAGAGAGAAGATCGAAAGGAAGTGAACCCGGAGATATGGTTATATTTAGTGTCGGTGCAGATGGTGTTTGTCTGATGAGTGATTTGAAAAAAGCAATTAAAGCATCCGTAGATTTGAGGGAAATTATTGAAGAAGCAAATGCAGAGTGGACAGAGACTTTAAAGGTTTGCTACTGAATAGTATGAAAAATCAAGCATGCGATGCTTTTTGGAGAGAATATGATTTTTACTACTAGGTCTTGATGATAGAGTAACCCGACAGAGTTACCGAAACGGAGTGAGGTGTCAATCCATCCTAAAGGCAAATTCATTGCAATGGGGAATACAAATGGTACTATTCAAGTATTTGAATTGCCTTCATTTAGGATGATATATCAATTTAATGGACATCGACAGACAGTCAACCGAATATGTTGGTGTGATAATGGTATGGACAGGAGTTTGTTGAACGGATTACTTGTTCATAATAACTCACCTAGCTTTGTCATACAGTTCCTGGAACATCAAACTTTAGAGGTCCTATACTAGCCTCCGGAGCTGATGATGGGAAGATTGCTATTCATGACTTATTTGATTTGGATAAATTACACTCAACAAGTAAGCAGGATTGATACACATTGTTCTAGTTGTATTGTGTCCCGAAGCTTATTAACTTTTGCTGCTGCAGTCTCAATCCCCACTTCATCACCAGCGCTTGTACTCAAGTCCCACAAAAGAGGCATTTCTGGCCTTGCATGGTCACACACCTCCAAACTTCTATCCTCATCTTTTGACGGAACAGCTATTGTATTGATTCAGTATTCATAAATATTACTATTTGATGAACATACCTTCCCAAAAATGAATCAAGCAAAAAGTTGTTAATTCATCAACTAAAAGATACTTTTGTTAGGTGTGGGATATTACAACAGCTTTGCCTGTATCAATATTCAGAGGATACCATCAGGGACGGCTATTCAGTTGTGCATGGAGTCCAATTGATGAAGATTTGGTTTTTACTGGTGGAGATGATCAAATGTGCTTTGCTTGGAAGCCATCTGAACACCCCTATACTGAGATATCAGGTCAGTATCACTATGACTATAACATTTACAAGGTGTTCACAATTTAATTATTAGCATTTATTCACTGCATTATAGAAAAAAGCTCTACTCCAGCACAGGCTACTTTCTCTCCTGCGGAAACATCAATAACACCTGCGCCACCAACGTTGAAATCACCAGCAAAGAGAGAAGCTACTACTAAGAAAAATGAGTCTCGTCATAAGAGACAGAAAAAAGTGAACTTGTTCCCATCAAGTTCTCTAGGAGTATCAAGAAAAAAAAATACAGAAAGACATATTTGAATTATCAAAAAATATATATAATGGAGATATTGAAAAAGCCTTAGCTGTGTGGAATGAAAACGGACCAGACAAGGCAAGAGGGAAAGGAAAAACAAAAGAAGGGGAGAAAATAATGGAGAATGAAGGTGCAGAAAACAGAAAAGAAGAGAAGAGATCATATTTCACTGATTTGGTTGCTGGAGACAAAAAAGATGTCAAAAGACTAGTTACAGAAGAAGGTTAGGATATGCAAGGATTTCATGTTACAGAGAGTTGTTGATTCTCATAAAAGGCCCGATTTTAGTTTCAGCCAACAATACATTGGGACTATCAATGTCAATTGGTGGTCTGGAAATCAATCGCAGTCTTCCTCTTGATCTTTGGTTAAACAATATCCCAGCTTTGATTGAACGTTTGGATAAGAATGAAGGATTATCATCGCAGGATTGGATTATACTTGCCTTGAGTCCTCTCGGTATGGTTTACGAAAACGGTCACTGTGTATAGTTTAATTCATCCAATTGTTGAACATTAAACTGAATCAATTTTATCCCCAGCTGGCAGGGATGTATGGCAATCACTTCTGCAAAAACAAGCGCAAAAACTCTCGGTCAAAGGTGAGCACCATGCTGCGGTAATGTGCTTGATAGCATGTGGCGAAATATATGAGGCCATCAACGTGTACAAACAAGCTGACATGTACAGGTAAAATTTCAAAGCATAATTATCCTTATGTCAGCTGGCATTGTGAATGATAAACGGATTATTAATCATTAGGGAGGCCCTAACTCTAGCAAAGATACGCCTTCCCCAAGATGACCCAATAATATTTGATTTACATTCGGACTGGGCATTACAATTGGAGAAGGAACCTTCATATGAACAGGCTGCAATGTGGTTTGTATTCTTTGTGATTCTACTATTTCTGATTTACACAACCAACAAATTATCCATTGTGACACTTAACATTTCTGGTAGCTATATAGCTTCACAAAAGCCAGCGGCCATCCCCAATGCGCTTAATGCTGTTGCAAGAGCGGGTGACGTATCTGGATTATGCATGTCAGCGTCACTTGCACTTTTACTTGGCGACTCTTCAGCTGAAGAGCGTTTAACAAGATATAAACAAGAGCAAGAAGTCTCTGGGAAAACGCGATCACTATAGATGTTGATAACTCAAATAGTAAAATTTCAAGGAATAGTCAACCCCTTTGTTAGCGCACATAATACTGGTTCTCGATCACATGGAGTGTGTATTAAAACGTATAGATTTGTGAATCAATCTAAGGAAAACCCTGCATTATGCTTATTATTATGTGATTGCCACACAAACAAGATGTTAGAGGTCTATTAGAGAATTGGAAGGTAAAGATTTTTCAAGCGTAGAAAAACAAGTTGTGAGAATTTAACCGCGACAGTACAATGTCAGTGTGTTGCTATGCGATTAAATATCAGTAACTTGAGCTAGTTAGCAAAATTTTTGCAGTATTAGCGCTAGCCACCATATTTTTTCCAAAAAGGTTATCTTCGTTACTGCTATACCAGCTAATGTGGAAGGGCCTACCTTGAGATGTAGCTCGTTGCTCCCTCGCTAAATATAAGTCCAAGTAGGACTGGATTCCTATTTTGAATGCGTACGTTTTCGATTTTGTTGTAATCGTAATTTATAGTTAGACAAGTTACTAATCTTGATAGCAAAAGGACTTTCAACCTCGGTAATAAATAATGGGTTCCGCCCGTCTTGTCTTCCTGTTTGAGTTGATCGTTCACGATATCCGTTAAAGTTTCACTTAGAATTCGAGTATTGCATTTTCGGATCTTTCCGATCAATAGGAACGTTCTGTTCATTTAATGTGCTGTCACACTATTTAACTCGCATCGGTCATTCTAAATAATTATACGTTTTAATCCCGTTTTTAAGTTAACTATAGAAAAACGTCTGTAAACTTTTGCCTAATGTGTTGCGCATCAAAAAAAACTGTAGTGACGTGATTTTCTATCTACAATTGATATTCAACAGCAAAAAACATGCTTCCATATCTGGGCTTTTGTAAAATCTCTTTGTACAACACTGACAACCAACTATCAACTGATGTTTTAGATTTGAAATGATCGGCAGGATCTGTGTGTTACGCGTACTTTCACTGATTTTTTTGCAGTACGCCGATCTCGTATATTCGAATCGTCTCTGCTTACCGCCTTAACGTACAATAACATTGGGAATGTCTGCTCCAGTGCCAATCAAGTATAGCATTGAACTGCCTAATACACGCAAGCCAGGACAAACTGGTTAGTGGGGAATCGAATGAGGATAAAGAATGTGATCAAACAACCATATTTACATAATATTTTATTGTTGGCGAAAAGGAATTTATCGCAATGTCGACAGTCCTGATACTATTGTTAAGACTTTCAGGTAAACCATCTGACGACATAAAACAGATTTGTTGCATCACAGTTAACACATTCTTTTACAAATTCACAGACCGGGCGTGACAACACTTTACGATATTTTTCTACACGGTAAATTACCAATTCATACTTGGAATCAAACCTCCTGTCCACATTGTCATTGAAAACTGTTTGCTTCGCATCAGGTCTCAGCATATCAAGAGACAAACCATGTATCGGTCATCGTCAGTTCAATAAAATAACTGGCAAGTATGGCGAGTATGTCTGGCAGACCTACGATGAAGTTGCAAATCGTGCCAATAACCTAGCGGCTGGGTTAGTGTATTTGAATGAAAACGAGGTGAAGAATTCTAAAGTAGGTCAATGGACTGTTGGGATTTATTCTAACAACCGCCCAGGTGAGAATGGGAATTTTTTCTATAAATGTTCTAAAAAAAGATGCTGGAATATACTATAGTGTGGATGATAACTAATTAACTAATCTCGTATTCATTTCGAAGAATGGTTTATTACTGACAAGGTAGGGAACGACGGATTTGAAGGCGGTATAGTTGCTTTAAAAACGATTATACTAATAGACTAACTATTACCCACGTAGGCTTGCGCAATGCAAAACTTGATTACCGTCCCTCTGTACGACACTCTTGGTCCAGGTATTTCTCTACTTACAACTTTTCTTATCATGCTTCTCCATTAGTCATTACTCACGGTCTATCTTCGGAAAATTCAGAAACTGTTGGGTACATCTTCAACCATGCCGACATTGCAATCGTTGTTGCTGCCGAAAATCGCATCCAGAATATTCTTCGCGTATCCCATAAATCACCTGGTCTCAAGGTCATAATCTCCATGGACCCTTTATCCGAACCTTCTGTCACGAATTCTGATGTCTCTGCAGGAAAAGTACTGAAAGAATGGGCAGCCGAAAAGGGAATTCTTTTGGTGGATTTTGCGGAAGTCGAAGGACTAGGGAAGAAACATCCAAGGGAACATCTTAAGCCATCTCCAAATGATCTTGCTTGTATTTGCTACACGTCCGGAACTACGGGAGTGCCAAAAGGCGCTTTGTTAAGCCATGAAAACATGACTGCTGCCTGCGCGGGAGCCTTAGGAACGTGGCCTGCACGCCAAGATGATGTAAGTACAGTGGGTTATAAGTTTTGAACTGTTAAATTGCTCACTGATATATTTCTGATTTCTACAGATTCTTATCTCATATCTACCGGTAAGTTCATTAAAATTTGTCTAGCTACCCGTTGAGCCGACTTTTGTAATATAATATAAATATATACATATATGCATATATATCTTTCTTCCTTAATATCTACCGCTTCAAGTTTGCTCACGTGTTTGGTCGAGTAGCAGAAATATGTGTTACTACTGCTGGAGCTAGCATAGGCTATTTCCACGGTGACATTCTAGCGCTGGTTGATGACATAGCTTGCCTCCGGCCAACACTTTTTCCTTCGGTGCCGCGTTTGCTCACACGCATATATGGCAAACTACAACAAGCGACGGTGGAAGCTCCCGGTTTGAAAGGCGCGTTGGCGAGAAAGGCTATTGAAGTAAAATTTCAGCGATTAGCAGAAGGACAGGGATATACCCATGCGTTTTGGGATACATTGATATTTAGGAAGGTTAGACAGCTTTTAGGAGGAAGAGTGAGATGCATTATAACAGGTTCAGCACCGATTGCTTCAGATGTGTTGCAGTTTTTGAGAATTGCTTTTGTCTGCGATATTGCTGAAGGTTTGTAAATAAAGTGAAGCAAGAAAGAATCTAGGAAAGACATATTGAGCTTATTTGATGTTAAAATGTTTAGGATATGGCCAAACGGAAGGAGTAGCTGCTGCGACATTGACTAGACAAGGCGAAAATAAGGCAGGGCATGTTGGCGGACCATGTGTTTGGTAAGTATCATCACTATACTTATTGTTTATTGTTCAACTCCTCCTTATCCCGCAACATTGCTTTTTTTATGCCCTATTTATTCTCTCCCGCCTTAAATTACTGTTTGTGCTCTGTCCATCAAGTGTTGAGCTTAAGCTTGTAGATGTTCCCGAAATGAATTACTTGTCTATTGATAAACCTTTTCCACGAGGAGAATTGTGTCTTCGTGGTCCGAATGTGTGTCTTGGATACCATAAGGATCCCGAAAATACAAAGGCAACGATTGATTCTGAAGGATGGCTGTATACGGGCGATATTGCATATGTTGATGAACGAGGTTCGATTATAGGAAAAGTTTATTTCTGGGAATGGGCAAAAAAAAACAAGTTATCGCGCGCCAACAGACGCACGATGAGAAAGACATGATGAAGGAGTTGAATCCAAAAGTAATCAATGTTACATTTTATGGTTTGCATACTGTTAGGTGCTTTTACTATTATCGATCGCAAAAAGAATATATTCAAATTGTCACAAGGTGAATACATTGCTCCCGAGAAGGTAAGTTGGATGTCAATGCTATTTTTAAATATACGGATTGTTTACCTATTTGCCTCTAATGCTAATAACAGACGGTTTTTCTCTTATTATTTTAGCTTGAGAATGTTTATGTTAACTCTCCTCTTGTACTTCAAATATTTGTCCATGGTGACTCGCTTCGTAACTATCTTGTTGCAATCGTTGTTCCTGACCCTGAGATGTTTATCCCATGGGTCAATAAGATAACAAACAGGGATGTACAACTTGGGGACGAACAAGAGTTGCAAAAATTGATGGACGATCCGATAGTGAAGAGGGAATTTTTGAAGGAATTGGATCAAGTTGGAAAAGCAGCCCAATTGAGAGGGTGAGTATATGTGCACGTAGAATTAAGAGTATTAAATATCGAGATTTCACATGGTTATGCGCTCTATTGACTAATACACTTTTACTATAGATTCGAGTTTGTGAAAGTCATCCACCTTACTCACGTGCCATTTTCGGTTGAGAATGAATTATTGACTCCGACGTAAGTTGTTTTCCACTGATTTTTCATGTCTGATTAAGGTTAACTAATCTCTATGTTGTACAATATTTTGGAAACCTTATTTCTTAGTCTTAAATTGAAGCGACACCAAGCTTCGCAGTTCTATAGAAAGGAAATAGATCGCTTATATAATGAATTTGATGAATCGCAGAGACTCAAGGCCAAACTATAATGATTATTTTATAAATAATGTAGTTATGTATTGGATCTTTTAATTTAAGATATATAGAATACAGAACATTCATCTTCTTGCGGTTTCGTTTAATTTTTTAATTGTGACAAAGATACATTCTCATCAATTTCGAGAATCACATGCAAAGTCCCCATATGCCGTAAAGTTCGATTTCGAGACTAGTGGATGAGTGCTAATGTGATTAAAGGATATACAACGTGCAGTAATTAGGGGGTTGGAGCTGTTAATAATTACTTTGCAAAAGTCTTCAGATAAACCACTCTAAACCCAAGGGAGCTGTGGTGGCGTAAGTAGCGTATAAGTGTAATTATGTGTATTATTATTGTTCTTGTTCTCTTGTTACAGGGCACTAGGTTTCCAACAGGATAGTTTTATTTTCGAAGTCAGCAACTCATTCTGGTTACGCTTTATATATCAGCATTCTGAGAATTAAAGCGTGTTAATGATTATGTCTTCATATCTGAATTCTCTTACAAATTCCCGCTTGCAACTGATCCAAGCATACTAAGAAGGCAATTTTTAGCAGCCGTTGTGCCGATTGGCATCAAATTTAGATTCGAGATCTGAGAGGGAACCAAGCGGCTTACTAAAATGGTACTAGATAAAGATATCGCCATCTGATACAGAGACTTGTTACACTCATCTTGTCTGTCTTAGAAGGAGCAATGAAGCATTATTACCATTATCAGATGCGTTTGTATCCTGACAGCAAATGACAACAGACCAAAGGGTGTTGTTTGCGGTGATTAGACAAACACCATTGAGGCGATTAGAATGTTCGCTGTCATAACGGTGTTAGGTATTCCTTTACAGAAAATTATATTTGTCTTCACTCATTGGTGTTATAATGAATTTAATTTTTTAATTAAAGTTAATATTAATATTAAGGTTGTAGACAATGTGAACGTCTTCAATGGGGCTCTTTCGTCAATTTGATTGGTCCTGATATAGTAACACTATACTATTTATCAAGTTAGCACTGACCGATCGTAAAAATTAATGAATGTCAACCTTAGAGATCGACACACAACAGTTTTGTGCATCGCTTGTTGTCTCGTAGAATTGAGTTTATTATACAAAACATCACAACAATATCAACATCACAAGAATGCTAATATAGCGATAACAATCATAATGTTATGCGATGATGAATCGATATTATCATAGATCTTGTTCCCCTATTCATTAATCAACAATACTCCTATTCGCCCCCATTCCACCATTATCCCCAACATTGTCCTACGCACCATGCTTAATTGGGCAGTAACGTGCATATATATGTTGCATTCTGTGCAACAAAGAGACACGACTGATCCATGTGCAAGTAATATCTATTGTGTTGTTAAACGAAAAAATGTATTGTGGTAAATGGTATATAATGAGTTGAGAAGATGGATTGAATTTGCTATTTGGGGGATCAGTCACTGCTACATTTATTTGAGCAAGATAGGTAGATATTGATGATCAAACTTTTGCTGATAATCGATTTTACAATCCGTTAACCGACGCCCTAACTTATAAACAATCGTACTCAATTTGCTAGTTCAAATTTTACGATATTGCTTCAAATTTCAATTGCTAGACGAATACTCCAATGATAACGGCACCCGATATTCACAATTCCCTGTTGAAAACATTTACATGGGAAGAATTATCGAAGCATAACACTCCCGATGATGCATATATAGCAGTCAGAGGTAGTGTATACGATATCACGAACTTCATCAATCGACATCCCGGAGGGGAAGATATTCTCCTCATGGTTGCTGGGAAAGATGCAACTCAGGTACGCAGAAACAATAGCGATGATTTCGAGGAGAATGAGTTATCGATAGCTTGCACTCTGTTAAATGAAATAAAGGTTATTGTGTGCTAAATTTATTGAACAGCCCGTTTCGGATTTTTTGGCAGATTTTTGAGACCTATCATGAACTCGGGAAAGTAGATCTCACTTTGAAGTAAGATCGGGAATCTGTTTCTATGATTAATCCGTTGAGTTGTGATAATTACTAATTCCAACATATTAAACGCGATAGGAAATATTACATTGGAGCTCTGATAAGCAATGAATTACCGGTTTTCCCTGACCAGAGCGACTTTCACAAAACTGTCAAGAAGGTATTGTAAATATAATGAAGGAAAAACAAGAGAAAACTATGGTGTCTTCGTAACATTGTTGCCACTATTCTTCTCACATTGCAGCGCGTAGAAGACTATTTCCGCAAGAACCAGCTTGATCCAAAGGTATTCCGTTTACTAGCACTCCGCCCCTCACATTCTTATCATTCATTTACCGTTATTAACCAGTATTCTATGTGATATGTTCTCGTTTATACTCCGAAGAACACACCATTCATCTGGATCCGTTATGCCTGGATATACGGTTTATTGATTGGTTCATACTATTCTCAATATTATATTCCATTCGTAAGCGATCATATATTACTCCAAGTGCTGTTGGCTATTGCATTAGGATTCGCCGCTGCACAGGTGGGATTGAATCCGCTTCACGATGCATCACACTTTGCAGGTGAGACTTTCTGGTATATTGATCCTTGATAGTTGATTGGGAAGGTAAGACATTATGTATAAACCAAAGATTTTATTTTATTTTCTTATAGTTACTCACAATCCGTGGGTATGGAAATTGCTTGGCGCAACTCACGACTTTTTAAATGGGTCATCATTTCTCGTATGGGAATACCAGCATTTTCTTGGACATCATGTATATACAAACATAGCAGGTAGATTAACTTGTAACTATTACCCATTAATATCATCACGTCATGAATTTAACTTAGATTCTATTATAAACGAACAGATGCAGATCCTGACATTGTAACTGGTAATTACTTTTTTCATATTACAAGATCATCAACTTTTTTATAAAAGGGTGTCATTCCCTCGAACAATTTCGCTCTTCACTTATTATGACCTAGGGGATCCTGATATTCGGAGAATAAAACCAAGCCAACGTTGGTTCTCCCATTATATGAATCAGCATCTTTTTGTCCCCTTAATCTACGGATTTCTTGCATTCAAAGTACGCATACAGGATATCTTTATCTTGTATGTGTATAAAAGCAATGATAGAATTAGAGTCAACCAATTGACGTCTTGGCATACATTTGCGTTTTGGGGTGGGAAGGTGAGATTTAAATGAAGAGCGCCAAACGTAATGCTTGTTAAGTTATCACGTTACTTGCTTAACGTTCTTGTCACGTTTGTACATATAGGCATTCTTCATACTATATCGTGTATTGGTGCCAATGTTATTCCATTCAGCATGGAAGGTCTTGGCTTTACTCGTTATTGCTGACTTCACTGCGTCTTATTGGTTAGCATGTTCCTTCCAGGCGAATCATGTTGTCGATGAAGTTGAATGGTAATGTTTTTCATTCAGCAAACAAACTTTTATTACAGTCATTTCAACTAACACTTCTTAATGCATAGGCCTCTCCCAGATGACTCTGGCCTAGTACAAACAGATTGGGCAGAAATGCAAGTAATAACAACACAGGATTACGCTCACGATTCCGCTTTCTGGACATCAATTGTTGGATCTCTCAATTTCCAGGCTGTGCATCATCTGTTTCCGCAAATTTCACAGCACCATTATCCTCTTATTGCTCCTATTGTGAAAGAGACCTGTGCGGAGTATGGAATTAGATACTACTATAAGGTAAGTTGGAAACTAATACTTTGTATTTGAGCTGGAAAATCTAGAATATAATAATCTGACAACTCTGTAGGACACATTCTGGGAAGCATTTAGATCTCATGTCGAGCATTTGCATAATATGGGTCAGCCGCCAAACAAGTTGGATTAGATCGGTTATATGTACTACTGATTATCATACATGTATTATAGATTGTATATTGTCATCAATCAACAAAATAAACAAGTAGGCAATATTCACAGTATTTGTTGTTGTAAATGAATCCGAAACTTGACACTAGTAGAACAAAGAACGTATCGCGTGAAAGGGAATTGCACTCGTGGAGCGCAACATTTTTTATTGTCTGAAATAACTAGCGAGAGCGATATTCTGGAGCAAGAAACGAAGCGATTATGAAAACTACGTAGGCAAATATACACATTATTATTACGCAACTAAGTAATCTACATTTCTTTCAGTGTAACAGACGTATATCTTACTCGAATAAGATAAGAAAGCTAGTTTTTGGTTTTGATGTTGGCCGACTCATAGAATCTGGGGATGTGTCAATAATCCTTTTACAGACACGGGGGAAGAAGAGAATTTTTCGATGATATGGAGGCAATGATACCTCTAATTGACTATGTGGCAGAGAATGCGGGAATGATAATGATATTCGTGTGATTAATTATCGAAGATTCTTCAAGCTATGCGATACGGAGAAGTTCAGAGATTTTATAATTTTAAAAATGACAAGTCTGATGTTTGCTGAACAGTGCTAAGTATGAACCAGAAATTATTATAATTATGGATAATGCAAGAATTCACCAGAATGGATTGTAGGACGCCCATCAACCGCCAATCGAGCAAAGAAAATTGACTGGCAGAAAACTTGATCTAACCATTACTATAATAATAATAATAATTTATTGGCCACATTTGAAGCAGCAAGAACCTATGTAAATGGTGGAGACAAGAAGTCTCATTGAATCATTCAAATGGCAAAGACTTTAAAAATAAGAAGTAAATAAGTTGGTGGCTATTATATTGGTGTCCTGCATTTTCACTATTACTATTACATTCGGTTTTCAGGTCATGGAGAACTGGAGGAGTCCATATTAGTAATAATACGTATATTAATATTAGTATTTTCAAAAAATGAAGTTCATAGGATTTCAGATCACTTTTCTAGAGCAAGCTTTTTAGTTCCTGAATACGAAAAACAATTGTGTAAATATGAAGTCAGATAACTTTATTTTATAAAATACGCTAATTATTATTAAATTTCTAAATTCACAATTATAAATTATAATATGATTTTTTCCAGCTTATAGTTGAAATACTAATACTAAAAACACTTAAATTTGTCAAAAAGAAGACTGATATTAAGAGAGTATGACTTATTTCTAAAATATTAGACAATAACCAGCTTCCTTTAGTTTTGCAACCAACAACTCAAGCTTCTGAAAATAAAGCTCTTATTACAGATTGTCCTTATTCTATTACTATATCAAGCACAGCTCTCTAAACATAAAGCTGCTTACCACATATTGTTTGAAACACTGCAGAACAACCATTAATAAAAGGAATGGCATTTTAAATTGATTCGCAAATCCATTTTATGGTTTGAACACATGCGTGTTTGTCTTTTTTTAACGTGTATTTATATGGGGCATGCTGCAACGAAACCAGACAAAGCGAACATTCTATTATGACATAATAATAATAAATGAGAGTTGATTGTGATGTGTCTGTGAAATTGACCATGACTGATGACGTTTTGAAAAGTAATAATGGTGCTCATTATAACTTATGGACTTGTTAATTTTAACGCTCACTTTATCATACCAGAATGTAATGAATATAAACCATGACATGATTAATATAGAATTATCCCTATATAAAAATAAAATATATGACATTTACATTAAAGCCACCATGGAACCAAAAGCAAAAATCACTTATGAAATTTTAGTTCTCGGTATGAAATTTATTTGCAATTATTGAAGCTTTTCACCAATATGTGATTACTAACTACTAAATATAAACTGCATGCAGCGACATGAAATGGGCAGAGACTTAACATAGGGTCAAGAGTTCTTGTTGTGTGAACGAGCTGAATCAAGGGGGAAAAAATTGGACACTACACTAAAAGTTCAAAAAATGCTAAAGGATATGCATCGTACACTTGTCAAGGATATCATCAATGCTGGGGGCGGAATGTTTCGCAACAAGTTCTTCAGAAGTTTACGAAATTACTCATGCCTGGTTTTCTGTCTTCAACGATTTTTTATTCGTGCAATTTTGTCGGGGCTGGATTTTATGCCTCAGTTGAACTTGCAGAATTCGATATTCTCACAACAAAGGATGATATTGGGGAAGTGATTAAGTTGGCCAGGACTATGCTTCAAGTCAAGGTCAGTTAATTGATTTTACACTTTATGTTAAGAATTTATTCTTACATATTAATATTCACTTATTGCGCACCACAATCTTTACTTGTAAGCAAATTAGAGGACAGACTGAAAAGAAAATACTTGCACCTGGAAAATAGTTGTTTCCAGTTACCCGCAAGAAACTCGAACATTATTATGATTTTGTCGTGTGTAATTGCTTGTCTCTTCCCAACTAAATGATGATGGTCGAAAAAGCCATAGATAAAAGTTTACTGTTGGGTAACATTTATAATTAATGACAATGTTTTATTTCTGAGATTTCGGATATATCCAATGTAATGAATTAAACAAAAAAGAAAACAAACAAATTGATTACGTGAACGAATGGGCTATGCCTGAGAGTTTTCCTCAGCATCACTCATGATTGGGCTCATATTCGCAATAGCCTTCTACAACGATAATTTTTTAGCACAAAAAGGTACGATGTTTTTTTTACCTTCCAATATAGAAACTTTTGATATGATTAGGACAACGGCCACTTATAAAACGAGTGGTGTTACTACAATCAGGGCAAGGAAAACGGTTTGCAGTGTTGTAATGAAAACAGCAGCCTCGGGGATACGCGAAATATAAAGGAAACAGACAAGTATATTCACCAATCATTTTCTCGATGAATGTCGAACGTTCTGGCTATATTAGGCAAATTTTTAATTGAACCATAAATAATAATAATACATACGTGTTATACTGTTCATCCGGCGATATAAAAATTTAAATTAAAATTTTTTTTATAAGAAATATACTGTACATATTTCTTATTCTTTACATATAATTTAACTATTCAAATAAGATATCATACGTTAATGTTAAGTCGTGTCTTCGCCATCTTGTAAAAGTTAATAATGTGAAATGGAGTACTTGAACAATTTACTTTGTAAATAATAAGATTAATTATAGCCTTGTTAGAAGATAATCTATAAAACAAAATATAAAGTTTGTTATTCACATACGTACTCACTAGATAATCCCTGGCAAAGAAAAAGATTGTTCAACCAATGGGTTAGCTATGCTGTAAAAATCAACTTTGAGAATTATCAAATGTAGAATTAATTCGGCATTACTTTTAGAAAACATTAAAAGTACAAATTGTGTTGCGGTCGGCAGTCTGGGTTGTGGGTGGGTGAACGATAATTTTTCGTGTAGGCGTGTGTTTTCCAATAAAAAAATATTCTAATTTAGCTTTATCCCACTTGTGTTGTAACAAGACCACGGACAATGTCACTAACAACGGTAATCAATAACAAATACGAACAATTTTACGGATAATCTAATCGGTTCAATACAGGATTAATTACGTACGTGCAATAACTTTATATGGACGAGACCGAAAAATTACTGCACGCGCAGGATAGAGCAGGTGTGCATGTTATAACTAAACCGTGCATTTAGGGAGAGTGTGAATTTAGAGGGTATGCGCTTAGTATTAGAGGTCTTGTCTGTAATCGTATGATTTCAATGTTCCAAGTTTGTGCTGTGACTGAAAATCGTCACGAAATAACACACGTGACCCGTGCGGGAAATGTCAATCATAGATCGGCTTGTCCGTAACATTTGCTCTTATCGTCATATTCAGCTTCAAGGAAATGGTTACAAAAACATCAGTTAGAATATTTATCGCCAAAGATACTTGAACCAATTTTACAAGAAATAAATTAAACATTACATTTACTATTTATAGGTATCGGAGATGATGAATTAATGTCAACATGGCTTATTGTTATCATAATCACAACATCAACCGACGCTCAAGCATAACGTTAAGAGAGGGTATGTACGTCGCTTCAGGTTCAATAATAGAATTATATGGTTCTTATTTTGCATCAAATGTTCCAACATTGGAAACAATTACTCTTTGAATTAAGTGAATCCCTTGATCTTCAAGCGCTTGAGAAGTTCTTTATACAAATTTGGCGAGATCAACATACACGCGCTATTAATATCACATGATGTTATGCACAAATATCAAGTGATAGTCTTCGTTGAATTTCCTTGGCAATGTACATAACGTTGAAAAATAACGTTATCAACGCTATTTCTCTCATCCAAAACCTGAAGAGTGAACGATAATTCAGATGTAAAAAATGGAACAACAATGCGCACCCACACAAAAAAGATGTGTCATGATACAATATTTGTGTGTTAGCGTTTTAAGAATACAAAGATTTTCGCGCAACACAATGCACGCCTTGATAGGGAGTGTTCAGAAAAGCCATTAAAATAAGAATACTATGTATGCTGTGTGTAACATCATATTATCGAACCACTTTCAGGCATTTTTGCGGGTTTCAATAATAAGCCATCAACAAATCCCCCTTCTGCAAATCTCGACGCTCCTACTTTCCACTTTCCACCCTTCACTCTTTATTACGTCGCTCAACCTTTTCGAAGTAATATCAATTGCTCGGCAGGCCGAGGAACAAGGGGGAAATATACTGATTGTCAATTAAGCATTAAGCATTGACATTAATATTAAACATAATATAAGCATTCAACACAGAAGCATTATATTTCTTTCTTTACTCTCGCTTGTCTACCGGAGAGTATGTCCACTCAAGAAGATTATACAGACGGAGATGTCGTCTTAAACAGGTCGGGTTCGAGAAAGTTGAACGGATTGGCAAGAGGAGATTCGGTAAAGAGGTTACCACAGCTGGGGAGACTGGATAATCGCGAAAAGGGTAGTGCTGCTAATGGGAATTTGCAACCAAATACGCC